AGAGTTCATGTGTTTGGCTTGCACGCGAGGACGTGCCAATACCCATCGACAAAACCAATTGTCCAGTTCGAGTCGGGCCTCAAATTTGGGCCTAAGCAAACCCTTTTACGCCATTTTTGGGCTCTCTAAGATAATATTTTCGATATTTGGGTTCAACTTGGCACTTTTTGATCCAAATGAAGACTACAACTCATTTGGGCAAATTTGTAGAGTTTCGGCTAAAAAATTTTAAATAATTGTTAGAGAAGGTTGTTATTATGACTGAATAAATATTATTTGATTCATGACTCCTAGGGGAGGCCCATATTAAATTAAGACAAGTTATTTTTCTTTTGAATTGTTCTAAAATTATAATTTTTGTATCTCAAAAAATTTTTTTGGGGACTAAATATAATTTCAATAATACAATTTTTGAAATATAAAATGTGACAAATAATCTCATAAAAAAATATTTCCAAACAAGCACAAATCTTGAAGCAGTCTTTTGAATGGAAATACCCATAAATTATATCATGACAAGCACAAACCTTGAAGCAATATTTGAATTGGAAATTTTTAAATTGAATTCATGACCTACCAACCTTTGATTTCGGCAAACTTATAATAAAATTGAACACCTCGATGAGACAAGTTCAGCATTATCAAAAATATTTTGATCCAAATTTAAATGAGCCAAAATCAAATACTTGAAGCATAGTAAAAAACTTTATATCATTAATTGAATAATTAAATAATCTCTGAATTTTGCATACTTATTCTCAAGATAGCCATTTTAATGACAAAAATCTAACACAACCAAGATCACTCAATTTTGAGAACAATAAGGCACTTAAATGCTAAAAAATATTGATTTATAATCTATGAGATCAATATTGGTCATTTGATAGAGTTTGTTGGATATTTTTGAATAAATTTTTGAAAATGTCACTCTATAAAATTATAAAAAGCCCTTATTTTTTAAATGAAGAAAGAGCTTGAAATTAAACATGGTGTTAAAGAAGAAAAAGAAGCTATGTTAAACGATCTTCCTCAATGACCATCTTCCCCTTAACATCATTGTTCAATACTATCATTCAATCATAATCTTTCAACTATCATTGATTAATCGTTGTCATTCAAGGATTCAACTTATGTACCTTGATTACCATCTCTTGATCACTATATTTTGGCCACCATCATCAACCTCCACTGCTTCAACACTTTTCACTGCATACTCAAATGAGATCAAGCAAGCGTTCACAACTTTTTAATCTTCTTACTTTTCCAATTGGGAAGAAAAGTAATCTTCTATAATCTTACTATACATCGAATATTTTCAACTAGGTTTGGCCTTATAACTTTTTGATGTAGTGGATCGTCGGAAGATTCGACCTGCAAGAAGGATTTGGGGATTCCCAATCCAGGGAAGAAGAAGAAGAAAAGCTTTAAAAGCTTCAAAGACTAATATATTTCATTCAATACCTTTCCTATTACAAAACCTCATATTTATAAAGCAAAAAGAGAATTCTAGAACCTCATTCTAACAAACTTAGATAAGATGTCCTAGGGAACACCATAAGCAAAAGATGCACCGCATCATTTTTTTTCTCATTTTTCATATAAAAATTATATTGCCTTTTGCGGTTTTCTTTTATATACATGTGCATTCAATTTATATATAAATTTAGCATGTTAAAATATCTCTACTTTCATGACTGTTATAGCACACACTCCCACTATGAAATTATAAAATAATATGCAATTGTTGTTGCTCTCTCTAAACATGTATAATCAAACATGAATATGAAGATAATGCTCTTCAGATAAGTATTGAAATTTTTGGGCAAACATAAACAAATAACATATATAGTTAGTGCGTGTTAAGAAATTGGGAGGAATCTTGAGAGTTTCTTAAGCTCTTCTTGATCATCTTGCAAGATAGAGAGGGAGAAGAGGGAAGAGAGCATAATTTGGACGAGGAAAATCTATCATATATAAGGCTTTACTAAATTTTTTTCCAAATTTAATACATCACATATGACCTTATCTATTTATTGAGATTTACAATGATGTGATAACATACAAGAATAAAATAATCTAAAATTAATTCAATTCATAACATTTAGCTTAAAAATATTTTCACATAATATATCCGCTCTAAGAATATTTCATTAAAAAGATTTGTCACTCGATAATTTCCCTCAATACATATCATACTATACAAATTAAATTTTAATAAAAAAATAGATAAGCTTATTTCATAATTTTCTTATGTTTTTCTTATTGTTCTATACTAGTACCAAACTACAAACCCAATTGATTTTGAATATATAGAATAATATATAACAAATTGATGATAAGGCAACCTGAAATAGTTGAAAATGTCCAATAATTGTAAACATAGAAAAATTAAATTAAAAAAGCGATAGTTACTCGCTTATGAATAAATTAATTAAAATGTTGGGTAAGAAAATAATTTAAATATTATTTTATCCCCCGAATCTTGTGCCTTTTGGCCTTCCAACTTAGTTTCTACAATACACTTCTTGGACCAATAAAGGCTTTTTTTTAAGGGGAAATCATATAAGGGCTTATGCATTCATTAAAAAAGAGTTACAAGTCGTTAAAATATCCAAAAGCTCACTAAAAATATAATATTTCAAGCAAAACTTAAGAGCTAAAGAATAAAAATTATTACAATCATAAAGAAAGCAAAAGAAATACAACAGAAGAACAAAATGGGCACCATAAGCAATGACGAGCAAAACAACCACACTTGTAGGAAAGGATTAGGAAGAAGCACCTGCAAGAGAGAAAACAAACAAAACCATCCTATAACAAGCAACCAAAAGGTCATCACAGAAATACCAAAGTTTATCACATAAGAAGCTAAGAAGGAGCCAGCTAACACCTGAACAAAACATAACCATCAAACCCCAAACAAACAAAATAAGACCCCACAAGGACCAGCAATCAACCAATTCTCAAAGCACTCATGAGCACAACCAAAAGGCCAAGCCGTAAGGACTTTAGAAAAGAAGAAAAGAAAAATTTAAGATTTTTTTTTTTGGATTTCCTTCGCTTGCATTTACCAACTAAAAAAAATTATCCTCAATTATTTGAATCACATTTAATTAATCGATTTCCCTTGAATGCAATAATGGCACATACGTCTCTTCCCCAACATCCTAATTAGTGGCTAATCATACCCATCAAGCCAGTCACCTTGAAGCACCACACTCTCCTTCGAGTTGGCATCTAAATGAGCTCGCAAATCATCATTTGTAATAAGAAGAATAAGAATATCAAAGAGGGGAACAGGGTATTCAAATCACATTAATTTCATCATAAAATCGAAAGCAAAGCAGCAGTTAACGGGTCAACACCTCCATCAATTAAACTGACATTATATGTATCCACATTCACCTCATTATCATATGAGAGCTATCATCTCATTAACCACCAAAGTTTTGATAAGCAAAATAGGCAAAGTAGAAGCAACATTATCCATAATTTACGCAACACCATGAGCATTCATATCAGGATGAACACTAGTATTAATTGGATTTGAAATAACATCATTGTTGGACATCGGGATAGAATCATGAATGGGGCGACAAGAATGCCCTTAACATTTACATTTATCACATAAGGGAAGGAATTCCTCCATCACAGCTTGTTGTATGTAGCCACAACTATTAGGACCAAGCCACACTTTGCCAGAATATTTTTTAGTGATTTCAAGTTCAATTAAAACACGGGCAACATACGGATGAGAACCTAAAGCAGTAGCATTATCAACGTTTAACAGACGACCAAACAATAGTCCCAGGTCGTCGAGGATACTTGGGGAAAATAGATGAGAATGCAAGTTAATTGAGAAATTAGATCTAATTGGGAATAACAGGAGATTCAACACGCGTATACCAATTAAATGAGATCATTTGGTCAATTTTATGTAGCACTTATAAACTAAATAAGAATATTTATGACAAAAAATTTTCATATAATCAAGATCATTTCCCAACTTGATGAAAGCATGAGATTGATCTAACATGGTAACCAAGAAGTCTCCAATCAACTTAAGATCGTAATTAAAAAAAAAAAAAAAAAAAACATAACCTCCGAATTAAGAGAATCAAGACTACGATGACAAGAGGTGAAAAAACCAAGTAAAGCAAATTTAAGAGGCTTGGCTAGGGTATAAATCTCCTCCTCTAAAATAATCCATAAAGATGGCAAACCCTAAAATGTAGTAGTTTTAAAGTCGGGAAACACACAAAAGAAGAAGAACCAGATAAATCATGCATCAAGGAATGAACGAGACTTGATCGACCCTTCCAAAAAATCAGGGTTGACCCGCTAATTCATTGCCAAGACGAGCAAGGAGGAAGCAAATTAGCGAATAGCTTGAGTGTGGAAGAAAAAATGGCAATAAAAAAGAGGAACAAGAGAAGAGAAGTCTCCTCGGCACCAGACAAGCCGGCTATGGAAGACCGCTAGCAGAGAACGGAGAATCGACGACGGAAGGTGTCTCCAGACGCAAAAAAAAAATGATGACGGGAGGCGGCTAGGGCAAAGCCCTAGCAGCTCCCCAGAAGCATTGGGGCAAGGCAACGAAATTGAGATTTTGTGAAGATGTGGCGATTGAGCTGCGATGGACCAAGAAAGGCTTGGTACTACATATTAGAATGCATCATTATGCTCGAGAAAAGGAGTGAGATAAGCTCTAATAGAAAAAATATTTGAAGGGAAAATGCTTAATTCAAAGATGAATATACTCGCATACAATAGTCGGAAATTCTTGATGATATATAGCAAGAACAACCTATTATTCTTGAATACATACCCGGCCTGATTTGAGGACAAAGAATTTCGTGCTGCTACGATATAATATAATGTTGCCAAATTTCATAACACACACGTCGTCTGTATCGTAACACCTGTATGGTCAGGAAGTTCTTCAATATCGCTATCGATGAGATAGCCAAAGAAGAACGATAATAACTGATCATGACGAAATGCGTCAAAATCCAAAGGTTCCGTTTAGGGATCAACAAACCGTTCAGTTCGGTAAACTATCATCATAAAGTTATGGGTATTTGGATATATATCTTTTCCATTTAATCGGTTCAAGCTAGCTTAATTAGCTTGTTTGAGGCAGCTGCTTGTACAATTACATTACGTAGTCTTTCTTCCTCCATCCTGACTTTTCATCATCACCATCTTGCGTGATCTGATTAATTTGCTTAAATTACTGGTGCTGGTGCTGCCTTCTTCTTTTGCAATTCTTTTCTTAAAGTCAAATTGAGAAATGGATGGATAATATATATGTATGTGCATGCATGAAGCGTACTGATTAATTTGCCAGTAATATTTCTTGATACATGTATTCATTATAAACAACAAGCTAGCTTTCAGCTTTTTAATTGTGTGTGATTAAAGAGAAAATGGCCGTCTCAAATTACTTGCCAAAGATATTTGGAGCTGTGGTATTTATGACCATTTTTCTCATCATCAATAAACGATCTCCTCCTGTTGTTGCATTGGCAGCTGTGAACATCACTCATCTCCCAGGTTTTGAAGGCGCGCTTCCCTTCCATTTAGAAACTGGGTGAGCTCACTCATTTTCTGCAACCAGCTGTATATATATTCTATTAAAATTAACAAATTTAGTTATTCATTATTTGTAATATTTTTTTAACATTGTTAATTAGTACATATGAGATGATATAATAAAATTGTTTTCATTGATCCACGTACGTAGGTATGTAAGCGTGGATGTCGTGAAGGGTGTGGAGCTGTTCTATTACTTCATTGAGTCAGAGAGAAACCCCGCGGAGGATCCTCTTCTTCTATGGCTCACAGGTGGACCTGGCTGCTCTGCCTTCAGCGGTCTTGCCCTCGAAGTCGGTCAGTTTTATGCATTAATATTAATTCTCTTGAATTGAATAAAGATACAATTTTATACCGACTATAAATTTTTAATACAAAAATTATAATATACATAAACTACAAGATTAAATAAATTTTATTGTAATTCGTGAAGAGCTGCTGTCTTATAGCATTTGGGACTTTTTTTTTTTTTTGCATTCTCAATGAGCTTTGTGTTCCTGATCAGGAGCTGCTAATCTTCTAATTTAAGTAATTCTTTGCCATTCAAGACTCACTTTATGGAAAAGTATTTTCATAACCAGAATTATCAAAGTGTTTCACAAAATATTTCTTGCATGCAGCCGTAGTCAAATCTTTTTAACAGAGCCAAGTTTTTTCTTTGATCTACTAAGTCTTATCCCCATGAATTTTATTTCTACTACTTCACAATTCGAAGAATGAAAGAAAAACTGCACTAAAATATTATTAGTGGGCCAGCGAGAGGAAAGGTTACGGATATCTTGTTGGGCCTACAAAAGTTTTTTGAGGATTGAATCAAAATATTTGTAAAAAGATATAGGCGTTTATCAATGTAATTAAAGTTTACATTTAAACACCTATTATAAAGATGTAGGCGTTAAGATAATTTTTTTTTTAAAAAAAGCTTTCTTTGTTGTTAAATTATCAAATTGTCGTGTGAAAAATAATTATTTGTGAAAATTATGGTGAATATTTTAGATTTTTTTAATAATAAAGTTCAACTATGCCTTTAAAACAACTATCAAAATCTAAGAAATCTGCTTTGAAAAACTCCATATATATCATAGAGATTTCTATAGAGTAATTAAAAATTGTAATGAAATAAAGTTGTCTCAGCTGGTTCACGCTAAGGAAATATGTCTCAAGTGATGAGCTAAATTTTGGGCTGTATATTAAAAGAAAATAAAAAATGTTCATTTTCCAATTGTAAAAGGTAACTCATAATATCCGTTTATTTATTATTTCTTTATTCTTCTAAATTAATATGTATGCATGATTAATGAGCAGGTCCTTTAAAGTTTAAGGTAGAAAAGTATGAGGGGAAGCTGCCAAACTTGATTTATAATCCATACACCTGGACGAAGGTAGCCAATATTTGTATATAATTATTGAGCTCCAATAACTTTTAATTACATGTACAGTCAGTGGTATATATTTATTCTTTCTATATATATATATTTATTTATTCAACATTTACATGTCTTAGTTCTCAAGCATAATCTTCTTGGACTCCCCAGTTGGGACCGGATTCTCCTTCTCCAACAGCCCAGAGGGATATTTAACTGGTGACTTATCTTGGTCCAATCATGCAAATATATTTATGAGAAAGGTCACACATATATATTTGATATTTACTTACCCAATAACTAAATGTTTCAAAATAGCCATTAATTTTATTTTTGAATAAAATAAGCTAAATATATTGTTCTCAAGTTATTCAAATCATATATATGTATATGCATGATTGCAGTGGTTAATTGAACACTCCCGATTCATATCAAATCCTTTCTATGTTTCTGGGGATTCTTATGCGGGGAAGGTTGTCCCAGTCATTGCCCATAATATATTACAAGGTAACCTCTTATGCCCATAGTTTTTTAAGAATTTAATTCTTCATTACATAAGGAATTCATTGCATAGATTTCTTTTAAAAAAATATGCTGTTGTAATGAGATTTAGGGTTCTCCTTTCTTTTGTATGATTTTTTGTTCCATAGCAATTTATTAATTACTCTATTATTATAAACTCTTCTTTCACTTGTTGATGAATTCTTAAAGTACGTACACATGATGGATTACAGGAAATGAAGCTGGGCAGCATCCCCAACTTAACCTTCAGGTATATGTATGTAGATATAAGTTACATATATACATTATAAATTTATTTACTTTGTATTTGATTATTGCTACTTTTAACTAATTGATTTCATGTAGGGCTATATAGTGGGCAATCCATTAACAGGTGAAACTATTGATATTAGTTCCAGAGTCCCATTTGCTCTTGGAATGGGAATTATATCAGATGAACTCTATGATGTATATCCTTAATTCATCTCATTTTGCTACTTTTAATCCCTTTTTAATGATTTTTTAAAATGACTAATTAAGCTCTTAATTTCCTTCGTATATACAGTCAATAGATAGAAACTGCAATGGAGAAAATTACTCGAGTCCACTATGTGTTGGAAATATGCAAACATTTAACCAAGTGAGCAAATTTATTCATACAACTTGGTTTTTTTTTTTTCCTTTATGAAAATTTAATTTTCGGGCTAAAATTCCTAATAATGAAGCTAACAACCATGAAACAATCTTGTAGTTCTTTTCTGAAATCATGCCTTCACAAATATTAGAGCCCCTATGTGTTGTAGCATTAACTAAGCCAGGTGATATTAATCCAAGAAAGAGGTCTATGGAAGAAATATATACAAATTATTTGACACCTCCACCAATTCCTCCTATCAACTGCAGAGTAATCTCCTTATTTCTTTACATTCAGAATATTGATCACTTTTTCCAAAAGATTCTTCAGAACTTGACATTGAAGTTATTCTATTTATTTTGTAGAGTTATGCATATTATCTTATGTACTATTGGGCAAACAATGACGTCACTAGGGAGGCTCTCCATATTAAGAAGGTATTCATCTAAATACATAAGCCCTCTAAACGAAGGAATTTATTATCAAATAATTGTATTTGTTGAAAAATAATGTATGGTGAGGAACAGGGAACTGTGGTAGAGTGGCAGAGGTGCAGTAATAACTTGCAATACATAGAAGATTTGAATAGCAATATTGAGTATCAATATAATCTTACAAAAATGGGTTATCGAGCTTTGGTTTACAGGTGAATATATGAGTGTTCTTTTTTTCCTCAAACCTAATGAACCTAGCTTAATTGATAAGAGTTTATTTTGGAGCCTAAACATGTTACATTGCTAGTTTCAATTTTTTTTTCCATTTAAAAAGTTTATATATTTCAGTACTTCTCTTTCATTATAGTAGATAAATGAGCGGATTTGTGATCCAACTCTAACTTGTTGAATTGAGCTAGAGTTGGGCTCATGCAAGCTCATGTTATGAACTATTTTAATTTACACCCCTAATATAAATCTAATTAAAATTTTGATCAATGTAGTGGGGACCATGATATGGTTATTCCATTTGTGGGAACCAAACAGTGGATTAGAGCCTTAAACTTCTCAATCTTGGATGAGTGGAGATCATGGAAAGTTGGAGGCCAAGTTGCAGGGTGAGCTTTTGATTTACTAACAAAAACTCATATAATATAGCATGATTGATCATTTTTTTATCTTTATCCTTAGATACACAGTGTCCTACAACAATAATTTAACATTTGCAACTGTGAAGGTAAATTCTTTAGCTTCTAAGACATTGGAAATAGTTCATTAAAATGTTATATTATTAACTTTTTAATTAAGCACTAATTTACCTTTATTTATTTTCAGGGAGCAGGTCACACAGCACCAGAGTACAAGCCTAAGCAATGCTTGGCTATGCTTAAGAGGTGGATTTCTCATAATCCTCTATAATTAATAATACTTGTTCTTTGTGTATTTTTAATTTTTTGATAATGTGAAAGATGTACAAGAAGAAAGTGATTGTATTAATGAATAGACCATGGACATTTGCAGACGTGATAAGAAAATTGAAAAGAAATTTCAATATGTTGCATTGTAATGTCCACATCAGTATTTGATTAGGGCTTATCTCTTATTAATCAAATGGTTAAACCGTTCATGAACATTTCAGAGAATGTATTTGGTTTCTAGTAAGAAAGAACAACTTGATCAATGTGAAATGATGTTTGATTTATGACATTTCCCCTCTACAAGTACTGTAATCAGTGTTAATGTGCTCCGACGGTAAGTAGAACACCAACATTGGAACCACTTTGTGGTCACAGCAGACACCATACGACGCCCAAAACTAACTATGGCAGAGGAAAGTTCTACCTGGCTTTTCTATTATTTCCCATTTTATATGTACATGTACTGTTCACATTTACAATGATATGAGAAAAATTTTTTTTCCCTCTTCTCTGTTATACGTTTCTGCTCTCTGTTCTATGCACAGGTGAAGGGATTAACATGGTATCAAAGCACTTCTAAGCCTCACAGCTTCTCCTCTTTTTCGTCTTCATATTTCTCAAACTTGGAATCAGGAAATTCATCCACAACATGTAGCATCGCTGATGCTTCCCAGCTGATCAACAATGCAACTATCCCTCCACAACTAAAATTCATAATGTCTACCATTAAGAATGTTATTGCTGTTTAGTAGACTCCAAAAAATCATCTTACCTGGAGGTCACAAGTTTTGAAGGTTTTTTAGGCAAATGGTTTCGAGGGATATCTCGATGGCCCTGTTAATTTGTCGCCCACCTCGTCAGACAACTTTTGATACTGGTGATGTAATCTCTAACCCTTTTTTTTTACGTGGATGCTAATCAATCAAAACCAGGCCGCTACCTCGTTCTCCATTGTTTCGATGCCCTTGCTACCTTATGTCCTCAGTCTGGACTCGTGTGCTGAGATTTTGAAAACGACTTTAATCAACTAATTGTTCTAGTATCATACAACTTAAAAATAATCTCCATCACATCTCAATGAACAATAAGACTATGCAACAATATCTTTATAACATCAAATTGAAGGTGGGCACCCTTACGGTAGCCGGTTGTGCACTCGATTCAGAAGATGTTATTCTTTAAACACTTAATGGATTGCCTACCTCATATCAGTCCTTTAAGACGGCTATTCACACCAATCTTCAACCCCTGAGTCTCGATGACTTCGACTTGTTACTATGTAGTCAAGAGACGGATATTGAAATTGAAGCTGCTAAGGACCTTCAATCTGTGCAAATCTTTAAAGCACCAATTGCTCTTGGAGCAACTTGTGGACAAGGTACTCCAATTCATTCCATCTCATGTAGGACGCTCCACTTCACCTCTTATTGAATGCTAGATATGCGACAAACCTAGTTACTCGACAATCAAGTGTTGGCATCATTCAAATCTGAACTTGGCATCATTCAAATCTGAACTATAATAACAATCTCTCCCCTGCATTCCTATTCGAAACCAAAAATCAATTTACTCCTTCAACAGACTGGATTTTGGACACTGGATCCACGTACCATCTTATCAATGATGCTAATCATCTGCTAACCTCCCAACCTTACTTTATCTCTCAACAAATACAAGTAGGAAATGGTCAGTCTTTTTAAATATCCAACACTGCCCAATGCATTCTCTCCACTCCCAAGCGTAAGCTAGCTCTTTCTCCTTTACTTCATGTACCAAATGTTTCTCATAATTTGCTTTATGTTCATCGGTTAACATTTGATAATGGCTGCATTATTTCATTTACCCAACAAGGGTGTCATATAAAGGATCGGTGAACTGAGCATTTGATTCTTTCAGGTCCATACCATGATGGTCTCTACTCTATCACCATACTGACCATCTCTTCATCCTCACCTGGTGCCTTCTGCACAATTTTCATCACTGTTGATGATTGTTCTTAACCTTGGCATGCTCGTTTGGGCCATCCTCACAAAGCTATCCTATATACTATAGCTACTTTAGTTACATCTTTAAATATTTCTGTTATAAATGAAGTTTGTCATTCATGTCAAATAGCAAAGAGTCATAGGTTATCATTCTCTTGTTCTGTGTCTACTTGTACTTCTCCTTTCCAAATTATTATGTCTGATATATGGGGACCTTCCCCAGTTTTATCTTTTAGTGGATATAAATATTATGTCTTATTTATGGATGAATTTTCCCATTTTTCATGGATTTATCCAATGGTTAAAAAAGTTGAAACCTTCTCTAAAATTATTTTGTTTAAAGCCAAAGTTGAAAAACAAATTTTGACACACATGCAAACTCTTCGTTCTGATGGGGGTGGCAAATGTGCAAGCTCATAATTTCAAAATTTTCTCTACACCAATGGCATTATTCATCTATTTAGGTATCCTTATACACCACAACAAAAATGGCTTGTTGAGCTCAAGCACCATCATATAATTGAGACAGCTCCCACACTTTTACTTCAAGCTCATTTACCCACTATCTTTTGGGTTGAAGCTGTCCTAACGGCTACCTACTTAATTAATCAACTTCCTTCACTCACCACAGGATCTCTTTCTATCTATCATTTTCTGTATAATCATCTTCCCTCTTACTCCCATCTCAAGGTCTTTGGTTGTTTGTGCTATCCCTAGCTTCAACCTTTAGCACAACATAAATTTGCTCCCAAATCTTCAGTTTGTGTCTTCATTGGATATAACTCCACTATTAAAGGATATCGATGTTATCACATTCACCACCATAAAATTCTTATTTCACATCATGTTTAGTTCCACAAAATATTTTCCTATTTATATCAACTGCTTCCACCAATTCTACCTCTTCAACCTTCACTTCACATCCCATTACTTCTCAATTAACTCTTGTACCTTATCTATTTCCAGAACTCACTACAACACAAAACCTCCTCTTAAGCGATCCTCTGCTCAATAATAATATAATGTATTTCACTTCAATTTCTTAAATCCACCAAAAAGCCTATCTCTACCTCACATACGTCACCCAAACTCCTCACTCCTCCAACCTCATCTCCTCTACCTCCCATACATCACCCCATGGTGACTCGCCTGCAAACTAGGACTCTCAATCCCAAGACAATGTTCAATCTTCAACATAAAATTATACAGTCCAGTGTCCAACTTGCTTTTTTGCTGCCATCAAACATCAATGCTGGCGTGACATCTTGTCAGTTGAATTTCAAGATTTTTAAGTTCAAGGAATATGGGACCTGGTCGAACCCCCACCTGCTTAAATGATCTTAGTATGTAAATGGATTTACAAAACCAAATGGCATTCTGATGGGTCGGTTGCTAGGTATATATCCCACCTCATTGCACAGGGATATCGTTAAGAATATGGTATTGATTAAACTGAAACATTCAGTCTAGTGGTGAAGTTACCTATGATTCGTCTCTTCATTACTACAACTATTTATCGACATTGTACTGTCACCAAATTGGATGTCTTCGAAGCATTTTTACATGGAAAATTGAACGAGATCATCTATATGCAATAGCCGTCCAATTTTAAGGATTCCCAACATCCAAATTTTGTCTACCAACTGCATAAGGCTATATATGGCCTCAAATAATTCGCTCAGTAATGGTTTGCTAAACTCACTGCCCATTTGCAAGCTTTAGGATTTAGGCACAGTGATGTCGATCCCTCTTTGCTCATATATAATCATAATTCTCATCTCATGTATCTGCTAGTATATATGGATGATATTCTCTTGACATGAAACAATTCTTTGGCACCTAATGAATTGCTTCACAATCTCTAACAACATTTTCAACTTTGCAATTTGGGTACCTTAAATCAATTTCTTGGCATTCAAGTTATCCTAACACCCATCAGATATCACCTAAACCAATCCAAATATGCTTAGGATATTCTTCATCGGGCTTGCCTAGAAACCTGTAAGCCAGTTGTTACCCATCCTCCCTAAAACCAATTTTGGATTACACCTATTTATTATTGTTTGATGATCCCAAATTATATCAACATATAGTGGGTGCTTTATAATATTTAATTATAATAAGACCTGATTTGTCTTATGTTGTTAACAAGTTGTGACATTTTATGCACACTCCTCTGCAACATCATTTTCAAGCTCTTAAGCACCAACTCTGTTATCTTCAAGGTACTCTAAATTTTGGTCTTCCCATCAATAATAATTCTTCTTCCGTAAGTGCCTATGCTAACTTTGATTGGGTCGATGATCCACTAAATCGTAAATCCACTACTGGTTACTTTTTATTTCTAGGAGACACTCTAATTTCTTGGTGTGTCAAAAAGCTACCTACAGTTGCTTGATCGTCGACTGAAGCTGACTATCAGGCATTGGCTACCGCAACTACTGACATCATTTGGATTCACCACCTTCTGGCTGATTTTTAGTTTCCAATTTCCATTCCAACACCTTTATATTGTGAAATTGTATTGGCCATTGCCCTTGCTCATAATCCAGTTTTTCACACCAAGACTAAACACATAAAGGTGGATTACCATTTCATCAGAGATTGCATCAAGTCTACTACCAATACAGTCCATTATATAAACACTTAGGATCAAATTGTAGATATATTTACTAAAGCTCTTCCTTGACTTTGATTTACCTCTCTTCGGGACAAGCTCATGGTCTCTTCCGCACCAACAGCTTGTGGGGGCCTGTTAATGTGCTTCGATAGTAAGCATACCACCAATATTGATGCCACTTTGCGGTCATAACAAACACCATACGGCGCCCAAAACTAACTATGTTAATTCTTTGGAATTTCTTGATTAATTTGAATCATGCATAGTTGTAGATTTTTTAGAAGATAATGTGTGGTGTTTCTGACATGAATTCCCTACAATTGTCACCATGAGATTGTAGTGGACATTCAGGTTTTGTTTTATTTTTATTTTTTTTAATTCTAGACATTTGTGGCA